TTATGTATCATTTAATGATTATTTTTGCTGCATGAATTGATATTTGCATTAATAATATTTAGGCTCCGTCAACCCCAACATCCTGTAAATTAGCCGGAACACCTGAAGATCCATATTCTGGAAAGTGCAAAAATTCTGGCATTGGAATTTTAGGTATGATGAAATTTCCTAATTTCTTTTTTGGTGTTTTTTTTTCTTCTTGTTTTGGGAAATTTTAAAATAGTTCTTAATCAAATTTTGAATGCTGTTTTATTAATAAGGATCGCGTTTTTAAAACTTATCAATAGGTGTGAATGAACTTGCCCGCATGTTTCCTACTCCACCATCTAACACTGCTCCATCACCATCTGGTGTGCAATGTGGAACCGACCTTTCAACACTAGACAGTACTGATTGTTACCGTGATCGTACTGAGAATTATTTGGAGGGTGGATGCAGTCCATATTATGAACCTGTCAAAGTAGGTTTTGTTTATTGTTTCCCTTATTCGAATTTAGCACCTCTCTTAACATTTGAACTAAAATTTTTTGAATTGTGTGCCTAGGATTGGTCTTTTGTTTACAAGCTACCTGTACAGTACAAGTTTATTGGTTCTAAAAGATATGCTTCCTTAACTACCTTGCCAAGCCAGTTGCAACCACTTACCTTAACATCAGATCACATTTACAAACCTTCTTGGACGCACACTGTGTCATCTGCTCCTCTTCCTGCCAACACAACTTTGTCTAATTCACAAGTTAGTCATCCTGATCGACTTGCGACGAATTCCAAGTTTTAGTATATTTATGCTTCTCTTTGCATTTATTTATTTTGCTCATTCTAATCGTATTTGTTAGGAGGACACAACATTTTTCAGAAAAGGTCCGTAGGGGGGAGGGGGAATTTGTTTTGAGAGGCAGCAATAGATTAATGTTAGTGTCTAATTTAATTATTCCTTGATGCAATTTTTCATAATACTTGAAAGCATTTGAAGTCTTATTTATTTTAGCTTCTTTAATTAAATTATAGCTGGCTCTCAACTTTTTATCTGGAGAAAAAAATTTTTTTTGAACTTAATATAAATAATTAATATCTTTCATTTTTATAAAATTTCTTAATTATTTAATTGAAATTTTTTTTTTTTAAACAGTTTGGTTGCTGTTTATTTCTGAAAGATTTGGATCTGTTTTCACTTAGAGTGTGTCTATATTTTGAAATTTTCAATTTAAGTTTGTTTTTAAGTAGATAAAAGTAAGTTTGTGAAACAAAAAATTTTCTTTTGCCTACGTTGTAGTTTTTTTAGCTTAAGGGCCTGAAATGACCATTCAAAGGCTGCAATTAGTGCTGTTGCAGGCTGTGTACTTCCAATATTAGTACGCATATAATATTTTATTATAAAAAGGTTACTAGTATTATACACGCTAATTTTTGCTATAGTAACCACTAAATATTCTTTTTTTATTTTTTGTTTTGTCTGCAAAACAACTAGTACATGAATTAATAGTTTTATTATAGTAATTTTATAATAGTTTTACTATATAGTCTATGAATTATTGTTAATCATTTCACTTTTTTTTATATATATATTTATATTTATTGTTCTTATACTGTTTGTTTCTGCTTATTATTTAGAACTGTATAAAAGTATTTAAATAGAAAAATAAGTTAA